TCCTTATGGTGGCTGTAGTTGTGTTTAATTGTCTTTAACTTCATTAGAAATAATTTTGTTAGATTATATTGTGACAGCTGTCATATCAGCATGCATTTTGAAAAAAAACATCCAAATTGGCGCATTTTTGTGCAACCATTTTAATATTGAAGATGGAAGAAGATATGCAACACTTTCAGCATATTATGCTTTATTATTTTTAGAAAGGTAAGAACACAACTGAAATGCAAAGAAAAGATTTGTGCAGTGTATGGAGAAGGTGCAGTGACTGATCAAACATGTTAAAAGTGGTTTGTGAAGTATCTTGGTAATGTTGACATTTAGCCAAATAATTCTTTGCTGTTGGGCTGTCTTATGCATTGGAAGATGTCTAGCAGCACCCCTGGCTTCTACCCACTAGAAGCCAATAATGGGCAATAGCCGACATACTCAAAATACCCAAATCAATAGTTATTGGTAAAAATGAAAGATATGTCTTTTTTTATGGAAATAAACATATGGACTTTTTGGCCAATCCAATTGAAAACCTGAGACCTATAACAAGTAAGGGAATGAAATTAGTAATTGAAACTCTTTCAAAAAAGAAAAGCCAGGCCCAGATAGCATCTTTAGTGAGTTTATCAAACATTTAAAGAAGAAATAATAATGATTCTTTACAAAGTCTTCCAGAAACTGAAAGAGGAGGGAATACTTCCCAACTTATTCTGTGAAACCAATATAACTCTAATGTCAAAGCTAGACAAGAAAAGCACAAGACCAATAGTCCTTCATGAATATAAGTGAAAAAATGTTCATCACGATATTAGCAAATTGAATACAGCAACATATAAAAGCAATTTTACACCATGAGTGAGATTTATCCCAGGGATACAAAGCTGTTTTAACATCTGGAAATCAATTAATGTAATAGAGACCATATTAACCGAATAAAAGATAAAAACACATGATTATCTCAATAGTCAACAAAAGACATTTGAAAATCTATCACCCATTCATGATAAAAAACATCAACAGACTAAAAATAGAAATGACTCTCTTCAGCCTGATAAAAGACATCTACAAAAAAACTTACAGAGATTATACTTAATAGGGAAAGATTGAATGTTTTCCCCTAAGATGAGGTTGTGAGACTAATGCCTGCCAGGTGAATCATGCCACCTGAGAAGTCTGCCCCTGCTGACCTCAGAATGAATCTTCACTCAGGCAGTGTAGTGCATAGACATGGGTGCTTGTGCGCCATTGGTTGTGAGTGCTATCAAAGCCAGTACTGTGTCTGGCAACAGAGGGCAGGTATAGACAGGCTAAGGGCTTTCATGAAGATGCTTCAAAAGCCAGTGATCTTTGTGATTGCACAGTAAATGCTTATCCTTGGATCTTTTCCAGTATTTATTTCATATATACATTCCTTGTTTATTGCAAACTAATAAGAATTATTAATTATAATTATTTCACCTATTGGTTTTGTTACTTGCCTTAAAAATTGATATCCGTGTTTTTGAGGTGATAAAAACATGCTTATTTCCCTAACAGTTTTAAACATTACAAATTTGCCCTGGCTGGTTGGCTTGGTTGGTTGGAGCGTTGTTACATATACCAGAAGACTGGGGGTTCAATTTCCTAGTTAGGACACATACATAGGTTGCAGGTTCAGTCCCTGGTCAGGGTACATATGGGAAGCAACAAATCGATGTTTCTCTCTCCCCCTTGCCCCATCCCCACTTCTTGTCTTTCTAAAATCAGTAAATATATTTTAAAAATAAACATTACAAATTCTAATTCTAAAATCTATAGCTTACTCTTTCAAAAATAGATTTATACTAATGATTACCAGAGGAGAGAAGGTTTGAAGGGCTGGGTAAAAAAGGTAAGGGGATTAAGAAGTACAAATTGGGCCCTGGCTGGTGTGGCTCAGTGGATGGAGTGCTGGCCTTCGAACTGAAAGGCTGCTGGTTCGATTCCCAGTCAGGGCACATACCTGAGTTGCAGGCCAGGTGCCCAGTTGAGGGCAGGGGAGAGGCAACCAATCGAAGTATCTCTGGCACATTGATGTTTCTCTGCTTCTGTTTCTCCCTCCCTTCCACTCTCTCTAAAATTAAGTAAATAAAAAATATTAAAAAAAAAAAAGAATTAGAGAATTAAAGAAAAAAGTACAAATTGGTAGTCTCAAAACAGTAATAGTCATGAGGATGTAAAGTACAGTATAGGGAATGTAGTCAATAATATTGTAATAACTATGTATGGTGCCAGGTGGGTACTTGAAATATTGGGGGGAATACTTTGTAAAGTACATGATTGTCTAACCACTATGCTTTATACCTGAAACTAATATAAAATAATATTGAATGTAAACTGTAATTGAAAAATAAAAATAGAGATATAAAAATAACCCAAAGAACCCTGGTCAGTGTGGCTCAGTTGGCTGGAGTGTTGTCCCCTAATCAAAAGATTGTGGGTTCAGTTCCTGGGGTGGGCACAGATACCCAGTCTGGCTGCATGTGAGAAGCAGCCAATCAATGCTTCTCTCTTGCTTCAATGTTTCTCTCTCTCCCTCCCTCCCTCTCTCTCTAAAAGCAATGAAAAAATGTCCTCAGGTGAGGATAAATAAATAAATAAAATAACCCAAAGATATTCTTTATGTTCCTGATGGCTTATATTGTCCTAGATTTCCTAGTCTTTTGTATCTATGTCTGTGTCAGATCTTTTCTAAGATCATTCATTCTCTTCTCTACTCCTTTTTCCTTTTCCTTTTGAATAATAAACCATTTTAAAAGCATTTTTAAAATTCTTTTTATGTTAGTTGAAGAAAATTTTTTATAAAAAGCCTGTGTGAGCTTCACAATGAACTTACACACTTCTATACCATTTCTCTGAACTTTTATTGTTGAAAGGATTCCTGCAAATTTTTCACATATTTTTTAATTATAATGGACTTTTTCTATGGTTGGAAAATTATGTTTTTAATTACTTTACAAACATGAAATTACAAGTATTTCTAATCATCTTATTCATGTCTATTTACTGATTTCTTACTTTATGTTATACAAATCTAAAACCTCTCTGGCTCAGAACAATCAGCCAGTAACCCAGGTTTTACTGGTGGCCTCTGAAGTCTTTTTGGGTTTGTTTATTTTGTTTCATTTTAAAATATCAACCTTTATTTCTCATATCATTCAAAAATAATAAAGTAAAACAAAAAAACCACCTTTTGGGAAACTTAAAGGCCATCAGTTTCCCAATCCCAAGATTTACATTTAGTACAAATTTAATATGAAAGAAAAAAATCTCTGAATTGCCCATCTCTAAGTCTTCACTGTATTTCATATCTATAGCTAAATCTTTAGCTGTGAGTATTCAAACTAAATTTTTGGAACTGTTTCTAACTAAATTTTTGGAATTTTTTCTTAAAAATGGAAGAATTTTTTACCTACTTTATTGGGATGAGAACAAAATGTTGGGGAAAATTTATAAACTATAAAATGCTATAAGAATGTTAGCACATATATGCTAGGGATTGATAAGAGTGTAGAAGATGATTATTCAAACTGTTAATTCATTCCTTTATGTAATACAAGTTGACCTTTGCTATAAAAATGAGAATAAAATATCAATTTCATGAGGTAGTTGTGAGGATTAAATGAACATAGGCAGATGTGTTGAATGTTTCTGGGAATTTGTAAACCAAGGGACTGAACAGGAAAGTGTAACTTTTTAAATTGGTTAGATCAAGGGAGAGAATTCTCAGTGTGGACTCAGGTGAAACCCTGGTACCACTGGGTGTCCATATTCATATTTGCAAAATTTTATTTCCTGAAGAAGTTTGTTAAGAGTCAAGAATCTCAGAAAGTTAGGATTGGGAAGAACTTTCTGCTTTCTTCTTCATCCTCAGTGTGTATATTGACTGGCTGTGTGAGGGATGTGAGTGTGTTATGGCTGTGGGATACTGCGTCTGATTCCTCTGTTGCTCTTTGGGAAGCATTTTGTTTCCCCTCCTCTCAAAGAATGGAAGTCCAGGGTGGTGCACCTTAACTTATTTGATAAATTGCTTCCCTTGAGAATAATTTTCCTTAAAATAATAAGCCAGTCAAAACAAAGTAACACAGCAGAAGAAAAATGACAACCAGGCAGCTATGATTGGAATCTTCATTTTCCATCCTTCTTTCCTCCTCTCCCTCAGCTGTCTGTTTTTATTAGATAAAATGACCTTGGACACTATAAGCATAACATTTCTTAAGGCTAAAACCAAAATGGCAAACTGAAACAGACAGCAGCCAGGCACATGCCTTAATTGACCTAATTTATTCATTCATTTGCTTATTCAACAGCTATTTAGTAAACACTCTGTGTGAGATACAATGCTAAGTGCTCAGTCTACAAAAATAAATCTCTGCCCTCAGGGAATTTGTAGTCTAATGGGAGAGAGACACTTAAATAGGCTGATACCTTAGCGAGAAAGTTATCTGATATAGGTGGAAGTAAATGTGAGAGCACAGACTTGGGTGAAGGTGTCCTGGAGGAAGTACAACTGGGGAAGGTCCGATGAATAGATAGATAAGAGTGGGAATTAGAGAGTATTCATAGAATTTCACTTCATCTTCTATGACAATGGAGTAATACATGCCAAACCCTGGGGGAAAGCATAGCTAAAGTATATAGCCTGCAGGAAGCGGGGCAGTTGGCTTAGAAGCCAGGAAAGTTTAGTGACAACATTTGTGGGTAGGAGTGATAGGATAGAAGGTGGCTTGTCAGTGATTTGATGGTTTATTAATTTTGGTTTAATGTCTTTAGAAGCCTAAAAGCCTCATAAATTATAAAATAAGGTTTCTATAAAGAGAAGACCTTTTCTGTGGTTGGATCAGAGCTGGTGTCCACCGCCTTGGTCTCCTCAGAGTGGAGTGCAGGCAGCATGGTTCTTACAGACTTTCTAATGCCTACAACCTGATAATAGGATAGAACCCATGTTACCTGATTGTGAGCGCCTTCTGTCTTTTCTTTTTTCGTAGGCACCCTAGAATACGTTTCCACACAGGCCTTGTGGACGCCCATCTCTACTGCATGAAAAAATACGTTGTGGACTTCCTAATGGAAAATGAGTAAGAGTCAGACCCACAGTTCTTAAGTTACCATGTGACTTAGTTAATGGTTTTAAACCTTGATAATGTTAGATAACCAGTTTATAAAATAACAATTTTTTCACCTTTGTTCTAGAAATGAAATGTCATCAGCATACTGTGATTTTTGTCTGTGCCACAGAGTCTCCAACTTGTATTTTTGGGACCTGTGTTATAATAAATCAGAAAGATATTTTTATGAAACTAAAAGTAACCTGTGGCTCCTTTTTCTGCACAGTTCCAGGCTGCTCTTACTTCCTTCTGCAAGGGTGAGCTCTAGCACCGTTTGTCTCCAAGTAGACGTCCTTCCTCAGGCAATTATCCTATGGACAGACCCTCTTAGCAAAGGGCCGGAGAATTACCCAAGAGGAGGAAAACAAAAAGAGCAAATTTCCCTCCAATTTGGAAAAGAAGTCCACCTTACTGAGTGACCGTCCATGAATGCAGAGAAACAAATTTTAGTACTTTTCTGATGTTGCTTTGAGAACAAAACTGTGGGCTTTAGTAATTCCCAGAGACTGTGTCCGGCAAATCACAGGGTTTGGGTTTCCAGAGGGAAGACCTCCTTTTACTATTGATATCAAGGATTTTTGATAGGAAATGCAACTAGAGTCCTCAGAAGAAGAGGTGGGAAAAGATTAAATAAGTGCATGGGTAAGAAGAGGAGCAGCTAGTCTCCCCTGGCAGCTGCTGAATAAGTTTCACCCTTGAATACTAAGCATGGGAGGACCAGAAAGCAGGCAGCATGGTGTAACCACTGCAGTAAGTTTCCGAGGCAGAAATGCCAGCATGCCCTTAGCTGATGGACTTGGATATATTGGGGAAAGGGAATTGTTCCTCTGTGCCCCATATGATATTTCCTGCAGCCTCCTAACCCTCGTCCCCTACAGCACCTGCTAAACGCCTATAGGAAGACCCATGTATAGACAATGGTCAAACAAATCATTTGGACTCTCCGCTTTCCCAAGGATTGTTGTTTCTCTATTTTCCTTCCCAGGATACTGTTCGCCTGCTCTCTCTCCTCTGACTTACTATTATGTTTTTTTTCATTCAAACAACAGACAACTTATTAAGCATCTATTATGAGGCAGACACTGTGCTAAAACAATTGTAGAATCAATGGTGAATAAGCTGCATGAGCCCTGCCCTCATGGAACTTAGAGCTAAGCTCCACAGTGGACTTTAGAGACCTCGGCTTTTTAAACAGCAAGGAAATGTATTGCCAAGATTAGAGAGTAATCCAGGACCTGCTTGCTAGTTACCGGTCTGAGCTATCTGTATTCCAAAAATGAAGTTAACTCTTGGTCATTAAAGGGCTTATTTTTCATTTCTAAATGAATATGAAGTCCTATGAAATAGGCTCTGTCCTTGATGTGCTGAAAGGGGATGCAATGGTAGAGATCATGATTTTTTTTTTTTTTTAACTATTTACTATGGAAAATTTCACACAAATACAAAAGTAGAGAAAGTAACATGAGGAACTCCTATGGATCCATCACGCGGCTTCAGCGATGATCCGTTCGTGGTCAGTCTTGTTTTGTGTATGCTACTACCCATCCACCCACTGTCACACCGGATTATTTTAAAGCAAGTCATTATGGTACAGTTTCATGGGTAATTGTTTCAGTTGTAATTATCTGTAAATATTTCAGTATGTATCTCTAGAACTTAAACGGTATTTTTTCATCTTTTTTTATCTTTTTTTTAAAGCCTTTATTTATTTTTAGAGAGGTAGGAAGGGAGGGAGAAGGAGAGGGAGAGAAACATCAGTTTGTAAGAGATACATTGCCCAGTTCCCTCTCACACACCCCCAACCGGGCACCTGGCCTGAAACCCAGGCACATGCCCTGACTGGGAATCAAACTGGCAACCCTTTGGTTCGCAGGCTGGCTGGCGCTTAATCCACTGAGCCACATCGCCAGGGCTATTTTTTAATCTTTTAAACAAAGACCTTAATACCATTATAACTTCTAAAAAAACAAACAAAAAAAAAAACCCTAACAGTGCTTCCTTAATACTGCCAAATGGGATTATAGCTTTTCATGGATATACATAGCTTTTGTCTGGATACCAGGATACGAGCTTCTTTGTAGCTCATTTGACCACCACCAGAAGATGTTCCCACACCTGGCAAGTGTAATGCAGTGATACATCCCTTGAGGACAAGCCTGAATTTGGTGATTCTGTAGCTTCTATCCGGAAGCTCTGTCAAACAGGACTTTCTCAGAACTGCTGTAATAGAGAATAATACAGAGAGCCGCAGCTCAAACTGCCTCCCCATCTCAAGTTCTGTTCAGGAGACCCTTACCTCGTTCTTCACCCATCTGTCCTTCTCAGAGCTGTTGGGCATAAAGGCATTATACTGAAAATTGATAAATATCAATATATCAGGAAAAAGTAAGCACACAGCAGGACAAATTTGAATAATACTTGAGAGAGATTCTTTATTCCTGGCTGGAATAGTGATGCCTTGTCTCAAAGTTGTGGGAGATAGGCCTTGAAAGCTGAGCAGGGAGTAGAGATCTTTAAACAGCATGGTCCCATATGGAATGAGCAATGATGTAAACTGGCAGGGGAACATAGATGATTGTGGGTGGAAAAGAGACTTCTTCAAGGTAAATTGGAGTTATTTATAATAATCTGATTATGGCATGATGACATCTTTAGGCAAGGAAAGGAAAAAATAAATCTAGGAGTTGCAACCTTCAGAAAAGACTGCTGTAGTAATCCTTTGTTACTTTTCACCAATGAAAGTTAACATATTCTGCCCTGTGCCTTTTTTAGTTGTTTACATGTTAATTCTTCTACCAAAATTCTTTGAAATTAGATACATACCTGGATTGGTAAGGCATTCAATATACAGGAAAATTCTTTGAAATTAGATACATACTTGGATTGGTAAGGCGTTCAATATACAGGAATGGTTGTATGTGAAACACAGTTTATTCTTGTATTATTATTTACTGATTATTGTATTATTTTCCAAATGAACACCTACTGTAAACCTACTTTTACCCACCCCTGTATGTTTTGTGATTGGAAGGAAAGGGGATGTACTGACAGTTTAAATGGCAGCAGTAATTTGGTATAGAAGCAGTGAAAAAAGATAAGGATTTCTGTAGTTGACTAAGTCAAAAAAGAGTATCCTCTCTACTCTTTGCTATGTATTCCATTTACTTTTCAGAAAAGATTTTACTAGTGTATCCTAAGACTCCCTTTATATGAGAGTAACTATCTCCAAGTACTCTTATTAGCAATGAGAAATATTTTTTTAAAGATTTTATTTATTTATTTTTAGAGAGAGGGGAAGGGAGAGGGAGAGAGAAAGAATGGGAGAGAAACATCAGTGTGTGAGAGATACATCAATCAGTTGTCTCTCGCATTCCCCCAACTGGGGACCTAGTCCGCAACCCAGGCATGTGCCCTGACTGGGAATCGAATCGGCGACCTTTCAGTTTGCAGGCCTTCGCAGGCTGGCACTTAATCCACTGAGCCACACCAGCTAGGATGAGAATTGTTTTAAATCTGCTCATTCAACAGGAAGTTAGAAATTACAGCTTGATTTAATTTTTATTTCTTAAAAAATATTTTTATATTTTTGAACATTTATATCTATAGGATATTAATCTTTTGTCCTATCTAAAGCAGTTATTTTGTCTTTTTAATTTGGTGCAGTTGTTCGTTTACTGCTAGTGATCAAGTCTGTTGTTCTCCTTTGTGATTTCTTTTTTCTTAGGAGCTTACAATTTCATGAGGCAGGTGTTTCTGGGAAGGCTGTGTGTGTATAAGAGGGAAGGGAGAAAGTGAGTGACCCAGGCCAGGGGCTTTGAGTGGATCCAGCTGCTGGTCTTCAACCCCAAGGTCAGGATGTTCGCAGTGGTTCACAGTGGCCTGCCCCACTTCTTAGCACAGTTTTGAACTGGTTCTACTTTGAGTAGGAAACACGAAGAGGAATTTTGGCCTCCATTATGCTGCTGAGCCAATTGCATTATGGGACTTGACCTGCTGTTGAGTGCTAGGAGAGGCAGGTGGGAACTGGCCGGACTGCCTCATGTCCTCTGGTACATGATCTCCTGAAAGGGCTGTGTGCCAGGGCCTGCTAGCTTGCTTCTTGCAGTGGCAGTTCTGTTTGGCCCATTGTGTAAATATCATGCCTCTGAAATTCCCCAGCGGGCCATGCTTTGTCATTTCTTCAAAGGGAACTGACTTGTTTTCCACCAGAGGGGGCCCAGGAACATTTGCTACAAACACTGGTTTGGTGCATTAAAAGGGGAGAAAAAAGAGCTAAGAGTAAATGTTTCATTCTTTGTATTCATATGGAAATTTTTAATCTCCATCAAATGATCAGAAGAAAAATCACATTGAAATTCAGTACAAGAGCTTCCAGCTTACACAGAATCTTTCAAAGATGTTTTGGCTTGATCCTTCAAAAAATGACAAAAACCATGAACTGTGTAGCTCCAGGGTTCATAATTTCGCTTACCCTCCTCAGCCTCTGCCTCTGTCTTGCCTTCCTACCTGCACTCCATCTGTGTGGTCCTCTGTCAGCTTGCAGAGCTTTGAAGGGGGGGGGGGGGTACACATTAGCAATCAGGTTTATAGGGCTGTTTTTAGTCTTGTTAATGGCCTCCCTGGCTTCAACCTCCTTATTCCAGGCCTATTTCTGCTACCAGAATCATCTTACTAAGAAATAAAACTGAGCCTGTCATTTTTCTGCTTAAAAATTACCACATAAGGCCTCTGTGATCTGGCTCCTTACTACTTAATCAGCCTCATCTCCTTCTACCCTTCTCCTTAAATTCATAATCAGGCTACTGTCCTCCAGATTATGAGTTGTTTGAAGTCAGAAACTGTTTATTACCAAGGTTTAGTGCAGTTACTGGCATATTAATAGATGCTTGTTAAATGCTAAATAAATTAATTAGTGATTTAAAATTCTAACAAGGTCACAGTATGAGAGAGAAAATCAAAAATTATGTGCTAGTCTCTCACCCCTCTGTGCTTTCATTTCCTTTGCTCAGTATAAATCAAAAGCATGTTCACTGTACTAAGGATCAGGCCTCTTCTTCCCCGTTACTGAGTCCTAGTCATTTAGGCTCCAAATCCTGTCTCATCAGGGAAGCACTATGCTTTCTGAGACCCAAAAAGGCCAAATGAATAGCTCTAAAGCCCTTGGCCAAAGTTACTTACTGCTTGTAATGTAACATAAACATAGTGCTGGAATTTTTTTGCCTCTAGAAGCCCTTTACATGTTGATCGTTGATCTTATTTTCTGTACATACTGTCCTAGCCAGCAATTTTCAACTGGTGTGCTGCAAGAGGCACACTGGTGTGCCACAAGAATTTTTAAAACATGCAGTACCTGACTATTTAGTCAGGGTCACTGACCTCTTTTCCCTTAGATTGTCAAATTTAAAAATGACAACAGCCAACACCACCATAGCCATCCAGTGTGAATGAATCAAAATTATACCTAGTTTTTTGTCAGGTTGGCAAAAATATTTTTTGGTATGCTGCAGAATTTGAGTAGTTTATGTGTGCCATGAGATGAAAAAGGTTGAAAATTGCTGTCCTAGGCTAATCTTATGACATGTAAAAGTAAATTCAAGTTAACTTTGTTCTAGAAATTCTTTGATAGTCATTGGTAAGTAAGTACACCGGTTGTAATATGAGGGAGCCAACTGTTAGATAGATTAAAGGATGAAATCTGCATAGAAGTACTTAGTCACTAAGTACTTCTGGATTTTACATTTACAGAATCTGAATCACATCAGGAGAGTAGTTTCATAGGAGCTAAGAAAAGGTGATGGACAAGAAACTTAAGAATGGCCTAAAATTGTAGAATTCGATAATTTGCGTAGAGTGAATCTCCTGTAGTCTGTCTATTGTGAGGATGTACAGAGCAAAAATCTTGTATACAGTCTTTGAATAGCACAGCTGTTATTATTAGGAAAAAGAAAGTCATCACCAAACAGACTAAAGGAGAAAAAAATATGAGCTCCATAGATGCAAAAAAATTTTTTTAAATAAAATTCAATACCCGTTCATTGATGAAAGCTCATAACAAATTAGGAATAAAAGAGAACTTTATTAATCTGATAAAAGATATATACAAAAAGGCTTATAACATGTGCCAGCTATTACCTATAAAGCATGAAAACCCATTGCTACACAAAGAAGACAATCGATAAATGGTAGCTTTGATAATGAAAAAAATAACTATAATAATATTCAGTCTAAATGATAAAATATTAGAAGAATTCTTTTTGAAGTCAGAACAAATAGCCCTGGCTGGTGTGGCTCAGTGAATTGAGCACCAGCTTGTGAACCAAAGGGTCGCAGGTTTGATTCCCAGTCAGGGCACAGCCTGGGTTGCAGGCCAGGTCCCCAGTTGGGGGTCTGTGAGAGGCAATCACACATTGATTTTTTATCCCTCTCTTTCTCCTTCCGTTCCTCTCTGTCTAAAAATAAATAAGTAAATCTTCTTTTTGAAAAAAAAAGAACAAATAAAGATGACTACTATCAGGGCTTCTTCTCAGCATTATATTGGAGGTCTTATACCTTTTTTTGGAGGTCTTATACCTTTTATTGGAGGTCAAATACAATAAAATAAGGAAAACAAAATATATAGGGATTAGGAAGGAAGAAAGAAAATTGTTGTTTTCATAGCTGCATGATTGTCAGAATCTACAGATAAATTATTGGAATTAATAAGATTTTTAGCACAGCGATTGGCTGTAAGATCAAAACAGAGAATAAGCTGAATTTCTATAAATCAACAATAAGAAGAAAATAATTGCTTAAAAGACACCATTTATAATACCAACAAAAAATATACAGTACTACCCTGACCAGCATGGGTCAGTTGGTTGAGCATCATCCCGTAAAGCGAAAGGTCACGGGTTTGATTCCCAGTCGGGGGTGAGAGGCACCAATGGACATTTCTATCACACATTGATGTTTCTCTCCCTAACGTTCTCCCTCCCTTCCCCTCTCTCTAAAAATAAATAAATAAAATCTTTAAAAATACATATATACACAATACTTAGGATTAAGCTAACAAGATAAGCAAAGCCTTTATGGAGAAAGTTTTTTAGACAACTTTTTTCAAACAATCAGAGCATTCTGTCTTCTCATAGGTTACTGCCAGTTAAGAGTCAAGGCACCATGTTAACATATACACATGCATGCCAGGTAGATGGGGCTTTGAGAAAGACTTTTTCTGCATAGATCATGAGAGGGGAATCCGAGACTCAGTATATTACCCTCCCTTTTCCTGAAGCATAAAGCTGATAGAAAACTTAGATCCACTGCTTCTCCAAAACTGCCACGTTCATGCCACTTTTGATCTCTAGCAGTCCCAAGGTGGCATGGCAGAAGGAATTTGGCTTTTCCTTGGATGCCCAGAGTTTTAGAGCCCACCAGGATCCAGACGGTAAGATTTCTCATATTCGACCATTCTTTCTTCCTAGGTCAATCACGTCCGTCCGGAGTGAACTGATTCCATACCTAGTAAGAAAACAGTTTTCCTCAGCTTCCTCACAACAAGGACAAGAAGAAAAAGAGGAGGATCTAAAGAAAAAGGAGCTCAAGTCCCTAGGTTAGTGTTTGGGTTGGCATAATATGGTCGGGGGAGTAGCGCCCTTGGAAAGAGTGCCCGGGTAGCTTAGCCCAGCCTAAGATGCCTGTCCCAAGGCAACAGAGTTTTGTCTAGCCACCCGGCAAGACAGGCTCGCTGTGCCACTCACTGAGCTCTGGGTAAGCTTGCTCAAGCAGATCCTGTCACTGTGCTCTTCAGAGACAGACTGATCATGCCTCAGGTCCATTCTCTGGTTCATAGCTCTGGTTTGACTGTGTTCCTCGTTAGACCATTTTAACTTTAAACTCTGCCCGCCACTTCTCAGTTCCCCTGTTTTCTAGGCTCTGGGCAGCCCCACTCCTGACTAAACTCAGCCGCTTCTGTCAAGGGAAGAAAGGTGTACAATTACAGTCCAACCAGAGGCCGGCCAGAGGTCTCCTTCCCAGGGTATAAGGGCAAGGTCTGTCTTGTTTGCTCTCATATCCCTGCCTCAAAATATATATTTATGAAATGAATTATTAGCTCTGTGATCTGAGGGAGGTTACTTAATCTTCTTCCTTTTTTTTTTTTTGCAAAACAGGACATTTTATTTGACCTTAGATAACATACTGCCCAATTTGCCTCAGCTGTGATATGTAGATAGATTTAGGTTGCTTTTTGGTGTACTCAGCCTTCTGAACCCCAGTTTTCTTATCATAAAATAAAAGATCCCAAATGATTATTGTAAGAGTTGAGAAACTAGAGCCCAACTATTCTGTGTTATTTCTGTCTTAGTACAACTCCCAGATATGGTGATAGAGGCCAGGCTGACAATATGGCAGGTCGCTAAAACCTGGACACTTGCTTGTGTTGCTTCATGATTTACAAGAGTCACCTATTTTTTTCCCCGGTAATGCTTGGTTATTGGTTAAACTTGCTTTAGAACCTCTTTTTAAACACTTTTGTATCATACAATATTTCAAATGTACCAGAAAGCACATTGCCTCTTTTAATTTTACTTAGTCTTTGAGGCTTTAGTGGGATTTCCTCAGGGTCCATGCTGCGTGGGTGAGTCCCAGCAGGAGAGGTGTAAGCTGTACCCTCTTTCAAAACTTAACTGAGTGTATATCCCCTCTCTCATCTCTCTCATTCACTTGCTTGGTTTGGGTGTTTGTTCTGAAGATATTTACAGTTTTATAAAAGAGGACAACACACTGACCTTTGCTCCCTATGATGGCTGCTGGAATGCCTGTCGAGGAGACACATGGGAAGACTTGTCCAGATCACAGGTGCGCTGCTATGTCCACATCATGAAAGACGGGCTCTGCCTTCGATTGAGCACCCTGGGACTCTACATAGAAGCAAACAGACAGGTGAGAGGATGGGTTTACAAGAGAAATCATGGAAGCTTCTTCCCTAGAAACAGACTGAGTCTTTTCTTTTTCTAAATCCTCAACCAAAAATATGTTTATTGATTTTAGAGAGAGAGGAAGGTTGAAAAAGAGAGAGAGAGAGAAACATAGATGTGAGAGAGAAACATCGATTGGTTGTCTCCCCTACGTGCCCCATTGCAGGATCAAACCTGCAACCTAGGTATGTGCCCTGACCAGGAATCAAACCCACAACCCTTTGGCATATGGGACAATGCTCCAACCAACTGAGCCACCCGGCCAGGGCCAGAGTAAGTCTTTTGTCTTATTTCTTCATTAGGTAGACAGTGACTTGTTCAGAATCCCTGTCATTCCTAAGGTTGAGAAAGATCTGAAATGTCAGGAGGGACCAGAGGTACCCAAGTATAGCAAAAGTAGCAGCAGAGGGCCTGGTCCATAGAGACAGAGCCTTGGTGACTCCAGGGGAAGGCTAAGGTCTCCCGGAAGGCATCTGGGTTCAGTAGCTTTCCTGTATTCTGCTCAGCACGGGGATCTCTACACTACTTCACAAACAAATATTTAAATACTGCATAATCATTACCGTGGTGAACATAGGCACAAAGAGGAGGCTTTCCTAAGAAGGTAAAGGAACAGAGTATAGAATAGCCAGATGGCAAAGCCTCAAGGAAGAAACATCTATGAGAGAGAAATGTCTGGAGACAGCATTAGAGGTTAGAGTCTTGCTAACCCCTTTTCTTTAACCCTGAGATTTATGAGACATGACAAATGAGTAGCTTCTTTTGAAGGGGAAGCAGCGCTGTGAAAGACAGGCCAGGTTTTAGTTTAGTTGAGGGATGCAGAGGGGACAGTGAAGGGGCCAGGGGTATAAGGGAGCTCTTTATTATGGAGCAGGCGCAGGAGGAGGAAGGTTTTAGGAGAGAGGGATGTTGAGACCATGAAAGGAAATGCAGAGCAGTGAAGGGTTGAAACGAGAATGGGAAAAGACAGATGAGTGGCATTCAAGGACAACAGGGATGAGATCACGTGAAGATTAGCTGTTGACATGGTTCCTGGTAGAACCTTGTGAAAACTCCGTGCAGGTGTAAGCTGGGGAATGGGATGGAGAGGTGAGGTAGAGTGATAAAAGATGTTGAGAGTTGGGATTAGGATTGAGTCCCTGAAGAAAACCTGGCTCAGGAATCTTCAGGACCCACACCATGCAGCGGGTATAGCCTCAGCCCCAGACCCCAAGCTGGCCTCGACCTGGATTGGTTATAGATCCAAGGGAATCCAGTCCAGAGAGTGTGTGAAAAATCACAACTAGTCCCATGTTCACTCAGAGCAGTCCTGGATAAAGTTAGCCCCAGTTTAGGGTCAGAGCCATTAGAAACCTTCTTTAATTTGACTTTTAGTTCTCTTCCTTCAGTTCTATGACTAGAGTCTGTCAGACAAGTCAAAAACAGGTCCATGGACAGCCTGAGGCTAGAGAAGTATCCTCTGAAGTGCCCGCGCAGGCTATGCCGCAGACAGGCCCGAATGGCCTTGGCTGGGGTGTAATAGCGAGCCCAGGGATTGGGACAGGGATTAGCATTCATACTGCTAGTGCCGCCAGTCCGGCAAGGCCACCCTCAGCCATTGTGGCCACCACACACAGTAGGATATCATATCAGTCTGCCCATGCTGCAGAGTCATAGGGAGGCACACTATCTGTGCCTTCTTAAGGGGTCCAGAGCGAAAACTCTCCATACTCATAACCTTTTCAGTGTTCTCATACTAGAGAGAGAATGGTGGAAACTTTCCCTTCAGCATTTTATTTTAGCTGGTGAAGAATATGGATGCTTTCTCTGGGTCTGTCCTGATCATGGAATTTGTCTAACATTACTCTAATTCTCAGCTCATGCCCGCCACAGTGGTCCAGGAGGTGAGCAGGAACCTAGGATAGCTACAGTCAAGATTCAGGATGCTCCTTGCCCTCATTAGGCCTCCTCTCCCATCTCACTACCTCCCAGCTGAGGGACATGGCATTACTTTCAGGGAGGATACTCTTAGCTCAGAAACTAAGGATAAGACCATCTAGAAGCTACTTCATAACTAATCCTCATCCTAGGGGAAATACAACAGCCTCCTGCTCTGCCTCATCCAGATAGGAAGCTGTGGCTGAACTTTCCCCACATCTCTCACTGGCATTGGGCTCTACCTAAGGTGCTTTCAAGTGTGTTCTGGTCTTTCTCTAATGACCAAACCTCTTTCCTCAAGGTGCCGAAATTGCTACCTATTCTTTGTCCAGAAGAATCGCTGGTCCATTCATCAGCCCAGATAGTCAACAGGCACTTGGTAAGTACCATCTTGGGCAGGGCAGGTATAGGACAATCTGTGGATGCCTTGAGGCGTATCCTTGTGAAGCTGGATTGGCTCACCAGCCTGGAACCTCATTAGCCCCAGGGAAATCCTAACTGGGTTCTGGTTGTAGGATTTCATTTTCTAGCTCAGGCACTCTAGAATCTGCCTGCACAGATGCTGACCCCAGCTATACAAACCCTGTAAAGAAGGTCCTGGGATTCATATACAGGAGTTTTCCATCTCTCTCCCTTTTCTTACCCTTATTTGAGCACTCTCTGCGAGAAAGCACATCTATATACCCAAGTGCATGAGTGTATAAGTTTGAGTTGGTCCCAGAGATATTATGTAACCTTGTGACCCTGAGAAATACTGATGATGGTCCCTCTTCCTGAAGTGTCTCTGAGAAAATACCCTATTAGACCCCACTAAGGGATCTGGGGGGTTAGTTTGTATTGGCTGAGATGAGTGGACAAAGTTTTATATTTGCCTTTTGCAGGTTGGAGGTGACTGCCTCATCGGTCCAGATACACAGGTTGGGGAGAAGTCATCCATTAAGCATTCGGTCATTGGTTCATCCTGTGTCATAAGAGACAGAGTGACTATCACCAGTTGCCTTCTCATGAACTCAGTCACTGTGGAGGAAGGGTATGTTTCCCCTTGTGACCACTTGAGGCAAGACCCTGGTACCCCTTGGAAGCTTTGGGGGCCAGTCCAGCCTGGGAAAGGGCTCAGACTGGGGAAAGGGAAAAAGAGGAAAAGGTGAAGGGAGGAATGTTCTAGGCCCTTTGAGGTCTTAGTTTTGGCTCCATAATGAAATGGTCTCCAAAAGGATTTCCAGTGGCTTCTCACACATGTGACAAATATGGTCCTGTAAGAAACTGCCATCTCTTGCTTTGATATCCTACTTGATGGGATGGCATAATAGTGAGCCACTGGCAATGCTGGAATGACACTACCAATATCTAAGGGTCACCTTCCCTTGTATGTGTCCAGAGCAGCCCTGAAGAAGGCAGAGGCCCAAGGGTACTGGACATATAAGCCACACACTGTTTTGAGGGAGAGTTTCTCTGTTTTAAGTTATGGAGAATAGTCACCCATTTTGAGATCCCATAGTGTCGAAAACCATGTTTATGAACAGCCTGTACTTAGAGTAAGAAAACTTGAATGATGTTTAATAGGATTCTTCCTCTGTATGGACTTCAGATTTTTCCTTGTATAAAAAGCAAGCATAGGTGATGGGAGAGAGGAGGATTATTACAAAATAAATGGTTTTCAGACTTTTTCTTAAAATAAATCTTATGCAGAAACTCAGTATTCAAAACTGATAAAACCATAGTGCTTTGGAATACAGTGGGGAACTTATCCTTCCTATAGTATGTGAAGCAGATCTGTAAAACAGATTTTGAAAACCACTAGGCTGGATCAGCCGAGATTGAGCGTAGCTCAGACATCTGTTGATTTCTCCGCCCAGGAACAGATAGGAGAGAAGTGTAGGGGAGGGCTGCAGGGCCAGCAAAAGCTGCGCTGCCTCCCTTGGCTGCCAGCGTGAGGTTGGGAGAAGCAACTTAGAAGAAACAGAGGCTCTGCAGGGAGAGAAAGACACTTTCAAGTAACCTGTCATTTCAAAGAACAGAAAAAGACCTCTGGGAAATTAAAAATATGATAACATTTTATTTTAGAAACATCTCCCCATTTTGATAGCTCAGATAGATTTCACCATCTAAGAAGAGGCTCTGCTGACTATTCTGATCAGACGTAATCTGTCCCAATACTCTCTGTCACATCAACCTCTTTTATTTCCTTTATAGCATTTTTACTGTCTGTCCTTATCTTGTTCACCTGTCTCTCACAAGTAAATTGTTATTTTGAGGATGGAAGTACCTCATCTTTCTGTTTCACTGTTATATCTTGAGGGCCTATAGGGACTCAATATATACGTATTTGTTACATAAAAGAATCTTAAACAATTCTTAATAATTGCAATATACAATTCAAAGAAGAATAATACAACAGGAAACAAGTCTGTATAGATGTACAAAGACCAAATCATAGACTATCCCCTAAGGAGTTTAATAGGTAATGGTAATTTAAGAGTTTAAAGCAAAGGAATAACATGATTAAATTCACATTTCATGAAGATCATTTTGGCTTCAGTGTGGAGGAGGATCTGAAGAGGGTAAACATGGAGGCAAGAAGTCTACTGAAATAATCCTGGTTAAAAAAAAGAGGGTGGAGGTATCCAAGATAATGGTAGAGTACACAACAATCAACCGGAATAATCAACTAAATAGACTAGCTAACAGAAATCTTATAACGAAGGATTTACAGAAGAAGCCACATCAGGACTGGTAGGAAGGGCAGAGAAAAGGACTGGCCCCACACCCACCTGTAACGACTGAGAACCCAGAGGGCCACTGTAGGTGCAAACCACTCTCCTTGCCCCCACCGAGGAGCATAGGGTCTCAACCCCAAGCAGGGCTCCCAGTCCAGAGCACCAGAGCTGGGAAGAGGAGCCCACATAACATCTGGCTGCAAAAATCAGTGGAGATTCTGTCCACTAGGGAGAGTGCAGATTTAGGAATAGTTGGCATAGAGGTGGTAACTGAAGCCATGGGAGTAGGGAAGATCACTAAGGGATAGTGTGTGGCATTAAAAGGAGAGAAGCTAAGATAAAATCTTGGAGAACATCAGGAATTTTAGAAGTAAGAAGTGGTATCTAAGGAAACTGACAGAGAATGAGCAAGGAAAGGATAAAAAGGGTAAGGAAGAGGACAGCTGGTAGGTGAAGCCCAGGTTTCTAGTTGGGGAAACAGGGAAGATGGTGGAGTACTCGAGGAAGGGTGAGGGAGGAGCAGATTTGTGGAGATACAAGGCCTGTGTAGGGCACGTGTGGTTAGAATACTGCATCCAGGTGTAGTTAGAATGCTTAAGAACAGTAAACACCAGAGTCAAATAGTGGTTACCTCTGATGGAAGGAGGGAAATGGGACCAAAGAAAGATGCGCGGCAGGTTGTAGTGCTTGTTTCGTGGGCTGTTTGGTGTGTACACAGGTGTTCTTTATATTCTCTGGACTTCTCTATGCCTGAAACATTTTATTAAAAATAATATATGGTTCTTCATCTAGAGCAGTGACTTTCAACCAGTGTGCTGTGAGAATTTTTAAACATTGAGTACCTGACTATTTAGTCAAGGGCACTGACCTCTTTTTCCTTAGATTGTCAAATTAAAAAAATGACAACCAAAAACAAAAATAGCCGTCTGGTGTGAATGCCCTGTCTTGAACCATAAATATGTAGGTCATACAATAACATCTTATTGGTCACGTCACATAAGATTACATCTGACTGGCTAATTCTTGGTACGAGAAATCCTTACATACAAGTATAGGCACCTGATTTTTTAAGTCGCTTAGGAACAAAAAGGGTAGGTGGTTACTTTTTATTTTATTTTTTTGTAAATCAGTCAAAATTATACCTTTTTTTTTTGTCAGATTGACAAAAAAGTATATTTTGTGTGTGCTGCAGAATTTTAGTAATTAGTTTATGTGTACCATGGGGGTGAAAAAGATTGAAAATCACTGGATTAAGGTTAAGAGGCTTTGGCATCTGGGAAGATATGGATGAGTCAGCGCTAATCTTTGGGCTGAAGTAATGAGTCAGGCCTTTAGTCACATGCCTAGAAAAGATTATGAGTATGTTTAGAAAGCCTGCCAGCTAACCTCTGGAGAAGAGCCTGCCTGTCCTCAGTAACAGAAGTTTCATGGCTCTTCGCCAAGTGCTCCCGAGTCAACACCTGAGGCAGAAGCCCATGACACAGTGGAGAGTCACCACTGTGTAGGCTTAGGCACATTGCTCAACCTCTGCGAGCTTCAATTTTCTCTAAAAATTAGAATAAATACCACTATCCCTACAGGTTTGCTAAAAAGATTAAGTTACACATGAATATAAAGTGCTCTGTGTAATGGAGAAGTTGTTAGACGTTCGATTTATGTGAGTTCCCTTTCCTCCTGGACTAAGGTGAAGAAAGTCCTGACTGGAGCCAGAAGAGAAACAACAGTTTGGAATCACTCTTGCTCCCCAGGCCAGGGCTTCCTTCTCATGTCGTCTGCTGAAGCCTGTCGCACAGTGTTCCTGGCCAAGCGGTGAACTTATTGAAGTCCTCTGTTTTCTCATGGCCTTCTCTCCACTTAAGCATTAGAGTTTCCAGGGTAATTTACCAAGACCCGCAGCTTTGCTTAAAATTTAAGCCCACCAAGGAGAAATGAAGACCAAAGCCCCAGGAATCTTAGCTGTCTCCGAGCAGCTTCTTAGAGAACAAAACCAGGCGTTGGCACAGCAGGCTCCTTAGTACCATGTGGAAAGTTAAAACTAGAAGCAAAAACCGTAGTGCTGGTACTGGCGCCGGTTCTTTTCTTGAGTTACAATACATAGGAAGCTGCCTCCCCTCCCGCTTTAAGCGTGAGCAGAAGAGGCATTACTGTGGACTGGCAAGCTGGAGAAGACTTGTTTAATACAGTGGCACCTCTAGCATGAACAAACACAAACATTTTCAGTAAAATCTTTAATCTTAGGGTTTCCTTCTGGACAGAGGGAAGGGTATAGTGACTTGAAATTTTTGCAGAGTACCTCAGCTTTGCTAATGGAGGTGACTTGTGACTGCAGCAATGATTATGGGCAACAATTGAAGAAACAAGTGGTAGAAAAGAGCTTCACTCTCACAAACCATCTTGTTAGGTGTTCACCTCAAAGCCTTGATCCACTGACCAAGACCCTCAGGGGAACCCCCGGCTTCGCATGAGTCAACCCACTTTTTCCCGGTCACATCTGCAGACTGTGCAGTAGTGGTTTGTGTGTCTCAGAGGACACCACACACAAAACAGATAAGAAAAGCCACATAAGAGGTTCTGAAGACCTCAGTCAGGCCTGCTCAGCACAAGGAGAACCCAGGCTCTCCATTGCTGGGGGGCTCCGACCTCAGTCATTCCAGTCGCCTCCTTTCAGAAATGGTTCCCACTCACATCCCAGATTCCAAAATAGCCAGTTACTAGTCTCTAATTATGGCTGCTTGAGTTTCTGTTGGCTGTTTTTTGTCTGCTGACCATGTTTACATCTTGCCCAGCTCCAGAGCATGCTTTCATGGGCTCTTAAAACTCCTGAGCAGGAAGTGTGCCCCTAACCCCCCAGTTTTTTCAGTGACAAACTGGTAGCCAGTTGCAAGCCTGCCCTGTCCCAGGAGCCTATGTATCTGAAGTTTTCTGTAATTCCCTACTATTCTACAGGGGAGAGTTTCCCCCAAGGAGCAGGAACCACTCTAACTTCTGACTGGACTGCTTTTCCTAACATAGAGAGCAAGTTGGAAAGTTGTGGAAGGTCCCTCAATGCCCACCTAGTGAGTACATTCTGAGTTTGAGCCAAAAAAACAAACAAACCACAAACTAACACTGTCCCCGCCCATCTCTAGCACATACAGCAAAGGTGCTATGGCCTTGGCCATTTACTGCTTTCCCACAGCATAGAGGTAAAAAGATTTTGGAATGACATAAAATGCTAGGTTTGGGGGGGGGGGTTGTGTTTTGTTTTTGGTGGTTTTTTTTTTCATTTTACTAAAGGTTTGGCACTCGAGAGAATCTTTTTTAACAGGCTGTGCATCAATAGTTTCAGTCCTTGGAATACCCCTTCTCCATCCCCCATGCCTCCTAGGTTGCCTGAGGATTTTTCCTTAGTTGGTGTTTTGTTTTGTTTTTTCATTCTTGGAAATTTTTTTTTAAGATTTTATTTATATATTTTTAGATAGAGGGAATGGGAGGGAGAAAGAGAAGAAGAGAAACATCAATATGAAAGAGAAACATTGATCAGTTGCTTCTTGTACGTGCCCTGGCCAGGACCGAACCCACAACTCAGGCATGTGCCCTGACTGGGACGTTTCACTTTGCGGGACAACACCCAACCAACTGAGCCACACTGGTCAGGGCTGTTGTGTTTGTTTTGTTTTGTTTAGATGGATGCTCACACCCTTCTTACTCACCTCTTTCTTCCCTCCATCTGCCCCTGACTCTTTAGGGCACTGAATATTGCCTTGTTAAGGCAGAGCTCCTTCCAGAGCCATCTCAGCTCTGCAAAGCAACTCGGCAGATCCAGGCTTCCTCCAGTCTTTCCTCTTCTTAATTTATTTGTATGGTGTTTTGGTTAAATGCACAGATTCTGGAGTCAGGCAGACCTAGATTTGAATCTGCTCCTTGGCAGTTTCGTGGTTTTGAGTAAATGGTTTAACTTCTCTGTTGCCTTATCTACAAAATGTGGTTATTTTTACTACATCAGAGGTAAAAATGATACTCTCAACCATCATCTAGGAAGCTTTTTTTCCTAATTAAATACGCAAGGCCCTTCATCCTAGACCTACCAAAAAGTTTGATGGGGCCAGCACATTGAGAGGGTTTTTGTTTGTTATTTTTAACATTATCCAGGTGATTTTTCTGATGAAATGGCTAGATTTGTAAGACACTCCTGTAATATACATAGAATATTTAACATAGTATTCAGCATGGAGTAGGTTGCAATAAATGCTCGTGGAGAGTTTCAAAATCTTCTCTCTCTTTCCTCTCACCCACCACATTCCAAGAGCCAGGAAGATGCTTTTTAAACACATTTAAATGTTAAGAGCCAGCAGTGCTACTCTTGGGAGTGTGGCGTTAGGGTCTGGAGTAGTCTTTTACGTGGCATGCAGATAGTTTGAAAAGCATCCTGTTTTTCCTAAATGAATATGGTTTTAACCACAGTCTGTGGTGAGAGCTCTGAGGCACCCGTTATTTCCACAGCCCATCTCCTAGGAAGATTCACGGCATCTGAGCTATAAATGAAATTTGGTATATATTCCCAGGCAAGGGGCAGGAGGGATAGGTCAGCCCAGCGACCAGCACCAGCTTCCACCCTCAACTAACGGAGGAAGGATTGGATGGAATTTAGGTCTGGGGTGCCTAAAAATCTGAAGTCAGAGTGTCTGCTCTTTTCAGGCTTTTAGGAGGAAGATCACTGTGACCATATCCAAACTCTGGGCTTCCCGAAAGCCAGGCCCTCCCTTGACCCAGCTGAGCCCTTCTGTCTTCTAGTGATAACTTCAGGCATGCAGCGGTTACCTGAACTGAGCAGCAGCTATTCCTAGCCTCTGGAGGAGCCAGAACCCCCAGCCCATAGTGGTGAAGACGGTAACGGGAGCCCGGAGTGCTCCCTAACTTAGCTACTGTGTTACAGGTGCATCATCCAGGGCAGCGTCATCTGCAACAATGCTGTGATCGAGAAGGGAGCAGACGTCAAGGACTGCCTCGTTGGAAATGGCCAGAGGATTGAAGCCAAAGGTAAACAAAACCCAAATTACAATCACAGATGCCATTTCTTACCTGTCACACTGATAATGCTCAGTGCTGGTGAGGACTAGGGAACAAGCACATGCATACACTGCAGGTGAGAACATAAACTGATAAAGTTATTCTTGCAAGGGAATTGACATCATTGTCAAATTTTTTAAATTTGACTTATTTCCATTTTTAAGAATTCATTGTACAGATAAGCTCAGATATGTATGCATCCTTACTATCCAAAAGTTAAAAACATAACAAATATATCAAATGGCCCTGATTGGCTTTAATAGTTTACAAGGACTCCTGGATATGAGAGAGAAAGGCCAGTAATCCAACAAAGGCTCTGACCTCATGAAGGCCTTGAGCACTTCATCTGACCTGATGCAATACTTAAGGGAGATAGCCCCACAGACTCCTGGCAACTTCTTCAAAAGCCATTCATTCAGAGCCATTCTCAACCACTTAGAGGTGATGTTATGAGCTGTGCTGTTAGCTCACTCTGCTCTGTAGCTGTAGAAGGGATATATAATGCTTGAGAGACATAGGAACATCAGGGTTTCCCTGCTGGGCTGGGAAAATGTGAATGGTCCATAATTTGGCTGAATGTTTTTAGACAAAAAATAGACAAAGCTCAAGATAATAGGAATGGCTAATTCCTTTTGAGATTATTCCTAAACCTAAAATAGGGTGGAGTGGGAGAGTTCCTGAAGGAATGTGCCCCACCAATTCTGTATTGGTAGAAGCCACATCATTTTCCTTCTCCCCAATAAATAAAGGCCTTCTTCACTGTTTTTCTCCTTTTATGAAGTCACACACCTCCCTTTTGAGCTTTAGAATCAATCAGACCTGAATTCAGGTCTCAGCTGTACAACTCATTAGATGTGTACCAGGTTAAAATTTGTTTAAACATTTTTAAAAATGTGTTTATTTTTAGAGAGAGGGGAAGGGAGGGAGAAAAAGAGGGAGAGAATCATCAATGTGAGAGAGAAACATCGATCTATTGCCTATTGTACATGCCCTGACCTGGGACCGAACCCGCAACCTAGGCATGAGCCCTGACTGGAAATTGAACCAGTGACCTTTCACTTTGTGGGATGATGCCCAGCCAACTGAGCCATACCAGTCAGGGCGAAGTTAAATTCTTAATCTCTAGGCCTCAGATTTTCAAAACTAGAAAAATTGAGCTAACAATACCTATCTTGGAGAATTTTTATGAGAATTAAATACAGTTAAATGTTATGAGGAGTACACCTAACTCCTGGAGCACACCAGCGGACTTAGAGCTCCACACTCCATGCTGTTGTGCCTCTCCATGCCTTGACACACCCCTTCTCCCTCTGGAATTCCTTTCTTGAAGACTCTGCCCAAGTGTTTTCTTCTCTATAGAACCTTCTCTGACTCTTCCCATGACTCCCTACAGCCAAACGGAGCATTCCTTCCTTTTCTGCACCCCTGTACTTTGTCAACACCTTTATTAAAGTACTTTCACAAGTTACAGCAATTATCTATGAATCTACCTCCCCTACTGGACTGAGGTCCTCAAGGGCAAAGATTGACTTATTCCAACATGTATCCTAGCTCTCAGAGCAAGTCCTGGTCCATAGTAGATTGGGCAGGGCCCGGGGGTCGGGGCGCAGGGGGGAAGAATGAGTGAATGAATTTTGGATCCATAAAGCATATTTTGGGGGATTTCAGGTTGGAAAGTGCTCCAGGAGATAGTTGCAATTATCATGGAGCTCTCCTTGCTTTTTTTCTAAACTTATACTAATAAAAGAACCACATGCAGCACTGATAACTGAACTAGGGAGATGTGGCCTTGGCTTGAAGCCATCTTTCACTCTTCTCCTCTTGAGCCTGGATGGAACTATCCTCTTCACTGCCTCTCTTTTCACATTCCAAGCACTTTCTTCCTCTGCATGTGAGAATTGCCGTTTCTGAAAGGCCTTTCCTGGATATCACCAATTTACCAATAAGGTTCTTTGTTATAAGCATAATAAACTAACTGATTTAAGCTGATAAAGAATTCACTGAGCTAGCACAGGTGAAGAGCTAGCTCACAGCTCTTCAATGGCTGCAAAATCAGGCATAGAAGATAAGTTATAGCCCTGACTGGTGTAACTCAGTTGGGTTGAATGTCGTCCTGCAAACTGAACGCCGGTTCAATTCCCAGTCAGGGCACATGCCTGGGTTGCATGCCAGGTTCCTGGTCAGGGGCATGCAGAAGGCAACCGATCGATGTTTCCCTTGCACATCTGTCTCGCTCCCTCTCCTTCACTCTCCCTTCCCCCTCTCTAAAAATAAATAAATAAAATATTTAATAACAAAGAAAGAAAGAAAAGAAGTTACAGCCAAGGATTTATACCCCAACCCGTTCTGGTGAAGACACTGCTGCCATTCCCACTGAACACTGGGACGGCTCGCGCTGCTTCTCCAACCACTCAGCAGCCCCAGAGTAGATTCTCTCTGGTTCCCCCTTCTTTGTATCACTAGTTTCCAGCCCAAGGTTTGAGGTTGCAGCGCCTGATAGGTCAAGCCAATGTCATATGTCCATGCCCTAGCTTCAAAGAACACTGGTGTTTTTAGTTTAATTACTGGCAGACACTCTACGCAGGGTCTTAGCAGAGAACCTTTGAGCAGGAGTGTTGGTCAGCAGCAGCGCGCTGGCTACCAGCACTTTCTGCTGTGATCACACACAGGCTGAGGGTAGGAGCCCGGGCGAGAGGGCTGGGACACCAGCTGAGACTCCAGCCCTGCAGGCATGGACGGTGCTGTTCTCCTGGAATGCTGTTGGCTTACAGCTATTGTTTACAGCTTTAAAATGTTTTCACATACACTGTCTTACTGGATCCTGGTCAAAGCCGTCTGACATCGGATTCGTTATTGACCCATTTGGTGAAGTGGAAACTGAGACTTTGAAAAGTTGAAATTTACCCAAGGTACAGAGCTAGTAGATGACAGAAATGGGTCTGCAGCCTCAATTATTGCCAACTGGCCTTTAAGAAGACCAACGGAAGAAGCCACTCCTGACTTGCCCCGCAGAATTTGATCAGTGATACCCTGTTTCTCCTTTTAGTCCATCTTTCCCAGACCAATAGGAAAAAATGTATTTGACTCCATATCCAAGCTCTTTCTGATCTTCAGGAACCTCAGGTCTTAGCTCCTTCCTCCTCCGCAACATATGAGCTCACCAAGGCCTACCCTGAGGTTGCAAAGGAACTTGTTTCTTGAGCAGCCGAAGTCTGTTGGTAGTTTCTTAAAAATAGGATTCAGAACCCCCAGCCTTTTCTCTGACTCTGTGGAAGGCCTTGGAAAGGGTCCCCACTGTTTCAAAAGCAGCTGTTCAGCTGGTCTGTGGGCTTGCTTTGTTATCCTGCCCCTTCCCCGTCTCATTGTATTTCTCTGTCCTTTGTTCTCTTCTATTTGGGTTTGTGACCCCCACACAGTGTTTCTTCCACCTCCTTCCTGCCCCTTTGTCTTTGTAAACTATCTCCTGCTCAACAAAAAGTAGAAACATCCCCCACTGCTTTCTTCTTTCAGTCTCTCCTGGAACCAGGAGCTGCTTCCTTTTGTTGTTTTTAAGAGTTTACTCCACAGGCTTATTTGAATGAGTGAACTCCATTTGCCAGCACCCTAGAGGTCCCCCCTTTCTTGTGCACCGGAACCTGGAATTTCACAGTTCCTGCTTCTCCTCCCCATTTCCAACAAAGTAATGGTGTTCCTCCCTTTTACTTTGCAAGGACTCCTTTTTATTCCTGTATAGAATTCATAATGACAACTGAATGCCAGATACTGAGGGTTTGAGGCATGGCATCTCCCACCAGGGAGCGCAGGGCTGGGCTTCAGTGTCTCCTGGGCTTTCTGGCTCTAATACTATGTGCCCATGTTTTTAACAAGAAGACCCCTTAATGGTCCTCCTGAAGGAGAGGTATCCAGGGAAGTTGTCTGGTAAACTGGAGAAGCCCAACGCTTCCCACTCTGTCCTCTACGCGGGGGACCGGTGTATCCAGCACAGTAGTCAGTGCCTTCCTGCTACAAGTTCTCCTGGCCAGTCACCTGTCCCCACTATCACTTGTCCTTGAGGCTGAACCATATGAATAAAGCAAATGCCTAGCCATCATTGCAGCTCCTCAAAACCTGTTACTAAGGATGACCCAGATAAACATCAACAACTCAGGTCTTCATTAGCAAAGAGCTCAATAGATGGCAAATCCCCAGTCAGTCTTACTCACATGGAATAATTTCGGGGGAAAAGCACTCAAACATTCATCCTGAGAAGTAATGCTGTCCCCTCTCCAAATTCCAATCATTTGCATACCACAGAGTTACCATATCCATAGCAGTCTCTTATCTCAAAAATGTGACTCAGTGTAGGCTTTTCTACCATATTCCAACACTACTAGGAGGACAAGCCATTTGTAACAGTTTTGGCTTTTTTCACCCCACCCCATCAGACTCAGTTAATGAAATTATCTCTGGCAAAAATCCTGGCAACCAAGTTTGACCTCCTGCCCAAGCCAATAGAAAAGCCAGAGCCAACAAAGTCAATACCTTGGAGACTTCAATTGAACACTTCGTCTGAGTCTTATATCACTATCAGTGAGAGAACTTGGATCTCTGTCCTGTGACTACAGCGATCAGTCTTTTGGCCATGAAAGTAGACCTGATGGGTGTGTGGGTCCAGTCCTGGCTGGCCGGAATCCTTCCCAGCTTCCCAACAGAGTAGCTTTTCATATGGGACTTCTCATTGCTTTCCATCCAATTGTTTTTTTCCCCAACTTACCATTCTCCCTTATATTCTTACCTTTAAGATCTTTTCCAACCTGAGTGCAGTCCAGAACTTTTGCAGGATGTTTATTGGAGCCCTCTTCCAACCCTGGCCCAGTAGAACTAGAACTGCTTGTTGCTCCCCTTTACGTTTCCCCCACCTTACTAAATCTCCATGAAAATATGTCTACCTCCAAAATACCAGATGTAATCTCTCTCCCCTGAAGCCCAGTGAGTTTTCTTCCACCCCCAGGCCAAGAGCAGACCAGAGGGCAGAGGAGAGTAGAGAAGGCAAGCCAGTGAAGGCTCAGGTTTTTATTTGGAGCCTGGCAGAGCACAAGAAAGCATTGTCTGACCCGGTCAGGCACCTCATTGGCCCCTCTGGTCTGGAGCACCGAGGGCCAAGAAGAACATTAGTTGGAACTAGGACTGTCTTCAGAACAGCCCAGTATCCCTAGAGACTAAGAAGAAACTGGATGAAGGAGGAACAAATGTCAAGGTCTAGATATGACAGGATGAGGCTGACTCATGGCTATAGAGGGATAAAGGGTAAAGTACGACTTTTGGAGGTGCCCTGGGAAGCTAATCAGAAAAGCATTTCCTTTGTTCTTTTCTGGTCAGTTTTATCTCAAGGGTGGAGCCTGATTGACAGTCACACTCCAGACTAGCCCTGCCCTAGGGGATTTGGCGGCCTGAGCGCTGTCTGGGCCTCCTCCCCATCCCGCTCCCTGAAGGAAGCAGATGGCCACAAGTGTAAAAAGGAGCACCTCCCAGGGCAGGAGTACGCGGGCCAGCCCCAGCACCATTCTGTAATCTCTGTTTAATACTTATCAAAGCACCATGCCGGGCTCTTTACATCAGTTACCTTATTGAACCCACCCAACTTTGTGAGGAAACTAAAGCCCAAAGACTTGGAACAGTTTGCTCAAAGTCTAATTAGAATTCAGATCTTTATGACTCAGGAGCTCTTTCCTTTCCTACATTGTCACTGTTTCTTCCTCTCTTTCCTGTCCCTTTCATCTCACATGAGATTGCCTCTGTCCGATGCGGTGCCATAACGGCAAATTTTGTGCAAGATGGAGACCTAGCTTTCTCATCCCTTGGAGAAAGTGAGAGAATTAAGCATGAGGATTCTGGATCCCCAAGCACTGTTGTTCTAATGCATGAGACGTGCCAATTATAATCCCTTGGAGAAGGAGATTGGAGACCTACTCCTCTGCATAGGCTTTTTTCTCTAAATCTCTACTCTCACTTAACCCCCAAAATACCCAAATATTCAACAAAGAGTTACTGCCTACTATATTCTAGGCTCTAATAAGGCATATATAAAAATGAATAAGACTTCCCTCTTGCTGTCTAGCTGCTCACAGTCTATGTAGAGAGACAGATGAGTAAAGAAATAAGTACAGTAAAATTTCACAGGTATCATGGTGGAGGATTATCAGGACTAAGAGCATAAAAGAAAAATGGATCAGTTCTTGGCACAAGGGTCGAGAGCACCATCTTAAAGGAAGGGATTAAGGCCAAATCCTGAAATTTTGGGCTATTTACCAAATATACAGAAGGGAAAAACCTCTCAAGCAAAGGGGAACCATGTAAGTAAGCAAGTACCTAAAGGCCAAAAAACAAATTGATGTGTTGGAAACTGGAAATCATTTAGAAAATCTAGAGTATAGGGTACAAGGGAGATGTAGCAAAAAAACAAGCTAGAAAAGTGAGTAGAACAGAAGAACATGTCTGAAATCTCAAAGGTCTCCAAAGCTTCAGTCAGAAACCCCCCTCCAGTGGCAGAGCAGAAAGAGGCTCCAGCTGTGGGCCGTGTGAACACACCCAAACGTCTCATGATCAGACTTGGTCCCATCATCAAGGATCTTCATTTGCTGCACCAAAGCCCTCTGAGACTGAAGTAGAGCCTCAGGAAAGACAAAGCGTCTGCCTCACCTATTAGGGTCACACTCAAGCCCCTAAGTGTGGCAAGAAAGGTACTAGACCTTTAGAGGCCATGGGAAGCTAGCCCAAAAAGAATACATTTTCAGCCAGCTGGTCAACCTTTTCTGTCAGAGCCAATAGAACCCTAAAAAACTTCTGTCTCCTGCATCTGTCCCATACCTATAGGCAAGAAATAGACGTGACACTCCTGGTTCCCCTTGTCCCTATCAGACCATTGGCTCCCTGCCTCCTTTCTATAGCTCTTGTTCCTGAAAGCTAACCCTCCTCTTACCTTTCATCACATCACTAGTCAGCTTTAAGGGCACTCCCTTAAATATATTGAGGGTTCGCAGTATTCCTCTTCCCTCCCTTTTCGAGATATCTTGGACAACTTAAAAACATTCATCAGTGAACCATCTAACACCCCTGCTTCATAATTTCCTGAACTTCTCTACTCTACCAACCTTTACCTCCTTTCAACTGTAGCTCTCTGCTCACATAACCGTTACCACAAATCTCTGAAATCGTTCATGTGCCCGTAGCTGTGCAAGACACTGGGGTATGATCATAAATACACTACCCCTGCCCTCAAGAGTCTTACAGAAGTAGAAGAGAATGATACAATAATGTAGAGACAGAGATATGTATTAGGTGGTGTGTTTTCACAAAGCAGAAAACGGGCAATTCAGAAGGGGTGGCACCCCATAATGGAGGTGCTTGATTAGGGCATTTAGGGTACAGTGTGGTAGGGGAGAAAGTCGTGGTGGAACAGCATGTGCTGAGGTCTAGAGCTATAAAATACTACTGCTTTAGGTACAAGCGGAGAATGGTGGAAGATGGAGCTAAAGAGGTAGGCAAGAGTCAGGACGTGGAGGGTTATAGGGGTCTGAGCTTTACAAAAATAATAGCTGCCACTATTTATTGAGCACTCAATGATTCTTTAATTCATTGAATCCTCACAACAACCCTATACAGTTGCTGCTGTTATTTCCATGTTACATATGAGGCATTTCCCTTTTCCCTTTGGATATCTTCATTTAACCATTTAGTCTTATTTCTCCTCACTCATTTCCCTCATTTCCTGTCCCCAAGCCACACCACAGTATTTCATGTTCCCCTTTCATACATCTTTATGTTTTTGCTCATGCTGTTATTTTTTTTTTATTTTTTATTACTATTATTGATTTAAGAGAGAGAGGGGAAGGAAGGGAGAGAGAAAGACTGATTTCTTGTTCCACTTTTGCATTCATTGGTTGCTTCCTGTGTGTGCCCTGACCCGGGATCAAACCCACAACCCTGGCATATTCGGCTGATGCTCTAACCAACTGAGCTGCCCAGCCAGGGTGCTTATGTTATTCTAATAGCCTGGAATGCCTTCCCTTTGATATACTTCCTGAAAAAAATTCTATTCATCATTTAAGACCCAGCTCCAGTTCCTCTCCTACATGAAGTCTTCCCAAAAGCCAGGTGTACAGAGTCAGTCCCCTCCTGCTGTGTGGGAAGATACTGTCTCTCCTATAGTCCCTTTGGCAAGTTATATTCCTAAGAGCTTCTTAAGAGCAGCGTCACATAAGAGAGGAATAAATGTTTATAAACACAAAATTAGAAGTAATTAGGTTTGAAATGGCATCTGTTGCTGACAGTTTTCAAACAACCTTTTCCTTTTCTTTTGTAGCCAAACGAGTAAATGAGGTGATCGTGGGGAATGACCAACTCATGGAGATCTGAGTTCTGAGCAAGTCAGACATCTTCCTCTTGGCCCCCAGAACTACAGATGTTGGCTGGCCCATCTGTTTGACTCTGTATTTATTTCCCAATAAAGAAGGGCTCCCAAAGGCATGCTGGAGACTTACGAAGTAGTGCCACGCTCCATACTGGGGGGGCCAGGGATACACAGTGTGTGTTGATGAGTCAAATGGTAAACACCATCTAGAGCCAGTGTGTGGAACAAAATAGGACACAATCGCCAAGCTCCCATGTACTGAAGTTACTAGGCAGGGGCAGCGGCTGTCCAGCGGTAAAGCTCCTAGGAGGGTGGCCTTCCAACTGGCTGGGCTAGCCTAGCCCTAGCCCGCAAAAGCACATCCCACCTGGAAGGATCTGAAGGTACTTCAGTCCCTGGCCCGCAGGCCTAGCTGCTGGCAGTGCCACCTCTGCCTGACATGTCCCCTGTACAGCTGCCTATCTGGGGCCGCCTGGCCCATGAGTCTCAGCCCAGGACTTATTAATACTCTGCCTCCATACCTGCCACGCAGATTCCCAGCCCCTGCCATCTCCCCACCCCCAGCCTCACCCTCTAACTCCTGCCATTCCCTCCCCCACCCTCCCAGCCTGTAGCCAATTTCTGCAGTTCAACTATGTCCCTTGGAGACTCTTAAAGCCAGCAGAAGGCAGCCCTTGCCTCGTCATCAAACCTATCCTCACCAGTTTTAGTGGGGCAAGAGCAATAAAAGAAAGCCATGGTCTGAGAAGCCAGACTCCTTCCCACCTCCCCTTAGTGTGATCTGTTCATCCAGGAAACTATATCATGGTTTGAAATTCTTTCTGACCCTTCTCCGGTTGTATTTCTGTCTTCATATCCTAATTATACAGACTCTCCTGCTTCAGATAATTGAGAAATGACATTTCCTTGCTCACAGCTCTTCTAGAGTCCTATCCACCTTCCCTTTAGCACCCCTCTCCGAGATGCACGTGCACGCTGCTCTTACCGATCCCTGTGCTGCTTTCACAACCTGCAGGAGTTTGGTGGAAGATAAAAGTGGTTCCTGGGGTGAGATTTCACCACCCAGGGTTAACAAAGTAAAGGTTTCTCTTGATGTGCTCACTGTGGGTGGCAGTAATTATAATCATAAAAGTACTGGTTTCTACATTGCCTCAAAAATCTGAAGTCTCTTAAGCTCATTTGAGTGATCTTGCCTGAATCTTAGTGTTGCTCTCACTGAACTTGTGGGAGACTGACGGGATGAGCATTCCTTCCCAGGGGATAGCCACCTCCACCAGCCCCATCTTGGGAGCTCTGCAGCTCCACGTTCTTCTCACTGGTCAAAACAAGGTTCCTGAAAGTTTGTCCTAATCAGACAGAAGCTGAAGTGGCCCAGCAGAAATGGCTGAATAGGGCTGCAGCGGCAGGAGTGGGACTTAAGAGTTGTGGTGGTGCCCAAGGCGGTCCTCTTTGGCACCGAACTTAAACTTGTGGGGCCCAGATGAGGCTGAAGACAGTCCTGGCCTGGAGGAAAGAAGACCTGCCCTCCGTAATGTTGCTTGGCTTTGGCCAAGCCGCTGCCTCTCCTCTGTCCCTGAGTCTGAGTTTCCCCAACTGTAAACAGGGAGAGTTGGACTGGTTCCTTTTTTTTTTTTTTTTTTTTTTTTTTTTTTTGGTAATTTATTGCACTCCACAGAGAGAGGGGAAGGAGGAGCAGGGAGAGAGAGAGAGAGAAACACAGATTTGTTGTTCCACTTATTTATACATTCATTAGTTGCTTCTTGTATGTGCCCTGACGGGGGATTGAACCCACAACCTTGGCATATGGGGTCGACGCTCCAAACTGACAACTACCCGGCCAGGGCTGAACTGGGTAACGTTTAAAGGCCCTTCCTCACCCTGGCCCTTCCTCACCCTGGCCCTTCCTCACCCTGGCTGCTGTGGCTTAGTAGACTGAGTGCCTGCCTGCAAACCAAAAGGCTGCCAGTTCGATTCCCAGTCAGGGCACATGCCTGGATCGCAGCCCAAGTCCCCAGTTAAGGGTGTGTGAGAGGCAACTGATTGATGTATCGCTCACACACCCATGTTTCTCTCCCTCTCTCCCTTCCCTTCTCTCTAAAACTAAATACAATCTTTAAAAAAATAATAATAATGTAAAAAAAATAATAAAGGTCCTTCCTATTCTCAGGTCTTGTCTCCTCTCTCAGAGCTTTCTGACCCTTGAGGTCTGGGTGGCCCAAGAGGCCAGAAAACTGCTCCTTGACCACAGAAAGGGGATGGAGCAAGGCAGGTTTGGAGGGAGGGTTAGATGAGGGAGGAGAAGTGATTGATTCAACTGTCCCAGAGCCTTCCCACACTTCTTGATCTTCCCCACTGAGCCCTGGGAACCCCTTACAGTATGTAGAGGAAAAACCTTTCCTCTTCCTTCCTTTGCACAAGCCCATGAGCAGCCACTACACCAGGAAACAGATGAGACCTGGGGGAGACAGGCAGGGCAAGCGTTCCCCAGGGAAGGCCTTACTGAGTTTGAGTCCCAGCTGAGAGCAGCCCCCAGCTCAGGACACTGCTGCTATTGTCTCTAATAATTGCAGGACTGGCTGGCTGCCCAAGATGCTTTGATTTCTCTTCTCTTTGCTCTATTTGTCTGCCAGAAGGCAGGGACAGTTTTTGTTTTCTTTTGGCAGCAGCTACAGAGGGTTTGGGTATGTCTGAAATACAGCGCACAACTGAATATTCACGGGCCAGCTACCTCTCTGTGGGACAGAAGCCAGCAGGGCCAGACAGGAAAAGGACTGACGGGATCTGCTGTGCCTCTCAGTGATGCTCCATGAGGGAGGTGGAGGAGAGGAAGAAGGGGACCTTGGGTGACAGATCAGGGAGGACTCTGGGGAGGTGATGAGGAACAGAGTTCTGGGAGTTACTAGGTCAGACAAGAGCTGATGGCTACCACTCCAGGGATTTCTCCTCCACTCCCACCTCACCCCTACCTGCCGGCAAGAGCTTCCTAAGCCTCTGAGGGAACTGACTGCCAAGGTCACCCTCCAAGCTTTTTCCCAAGGCCAGAGGCTAAACTTCTCAGTCCTTCACCGCAATACCCTGCCTATGGCCCTCCCATCCACTGTAGAGCGAGGAGGGAATTGTCTTTAGCCGGAGCCCCAAGAGCAATCCAGGGCCTGTACAACCTAGTTTAGAAGCTATTTCTATTTCCAGAAAATTGAAGAGTATACTTTTCGATATCCATAGCCATCCGTACCCCTCAGGAGGTACATAAGCCAGGCTTTCTTATACTGCTTTCTAAATAGTTAAATGTGTTTGAAGAATGGGGGAGAGCGATGTGGGGAGGACCACCCAGACAGAAGGTTTAGAAAGTTCAGCTCTGATGGAGCTGACAGGGAGGAAACGAAGCTGGGCAGGAGAACACATTCTGCTGGAGGCCAGGGTGACCTGTCCTCGACCTGAGCCGTCTCCCACCACCCAGAAGGATTACGTCATGGGCTTTTGCCATGGACAAATGGGGAGATTCTGCTATGATTCGTAGCCTCTCTTCTTACCCCACCCCCATGGTGAAAGGCAGTCTCTGGTCTCTGGTTGCAGCCTCTGGCACTAGAGACTTGACATGAGCTATTGACCTAAAGCTGTCAGTGGGGAAGGGGCTTACTTTCCCAGGCTTGGCCCCTAAACTTAATGGGTGACAACAGGGCTGCCAGGGCCCCTTCACATCTCAGGGTCATTGATTGCCTGGCCCAGAGATCCCAAAGCGTGGCGAATGAGAAGCTCGGGGGAGTGCCAAGAAGAAAGGCCTGCCCTGGCTCCTGGCCCATGGAGCCTACCCCGAAGCCCAGCTGGTCACTTCACCCCGGGGAGGGGGGGGTGGGGGGGTGAGGGGTGTGTGTGTGTGTGTGTGTGTGTGTGTGTGTGTGTGTGTCCTCCCTTTTCCTGGCACTGTTCCTCAGCCACATACATTACCTCATTTAATCTTTATGTCCAGGTCAAAGCTTATGTGATTTGCCCAAGATCTCACGGCCAGTAAATTAAAGATCCATACCCTGAATCACATCTTCTGTTAGATTCAGTCATTGTCCCACCTCCCTGATCCAATTCCTCAACTTCTGGAAACCCCCTGTGTCCACAGCTCGCAGCGGTTTCCCCTGTGGTCTCTGTTCTCTCCCTTAAGTATGAACTTCTAAAAAAACAGGTAAGGTACTCTGCAACCCCAGAGAGTTTAACAAAGGGATAGGACACATAAGAAACCCCAACAGGGGCGTCCAACCTTTTGGCGTCTCTGGGTCACACTGGAAAAAGAGTTGTCTCGGGCCACACTTTAAATACGTTGCAACACGTAATCACACACACAAAAAAAATCTCAGAATGTTTTAAGTAAATTTGCGATTTTGTGTTGGGCCACATTCATAGCCATCCTGAGCAGCATGCAGCCTGCAGAGATGTTTGTTTCATTAATCAGTAATTAAACTTACTCCTTGGTGATAATGAATTTAATTAGATTGCTTTTCTCTTGTTATTCTTTGTACAACTTCTCTAGTTTGGACCCAAAACACATACCTAGGTCCAGCCAAAGTGACAGTGATCCAGGCTGTTGCCCAGTGAAGCAGGCTGCTTGCAGCGAGAAAAAAGGAGCTTCTACTCCCCTTCCTGTTCCCTGGGGTCTGTGACTTTAGTTCTCTCTGGCTGAGCTCAGCTGCACTCAGGAAATCACTTTGTTGGGGAGAAGAAAGGTCATTTTGGAGCTTGGAGCAGCCAGAGAGCACGAGGCCCTGAGTTGGAATGGTTAGAACTACAGACCCAAGTCCTCCCACTCCGGCCTTTGACCTACGAGGCAAAAAGTTTTCTCAGCAGGCGGGCCCTACCCGGGAAGCATCCATAGGCATGCTGGACCTCACCACAGTTGTTACAAATGATGGGCCTGCTGCGGAGGGAGAGTCGTCCCAAGGCCCAGGTAATTACAAATCTATTCTCCACGGGGTTTATGGCTTGCAGACTCCGATAAGAAGGGACAGGTCTCAAGAGCAACTTCCAGCAGATGCTCTCCACTTGCGGTCCTGATGACACCCGGCCATACCCGTCTTTGGCTATAGCCCCAAGAGCAGTCTAGGGGCCCAAACAGCCTAGTTTAGAGGCTATTTCTATTTCCAGACAATGGCTCAGGGCACACTATTTTTATCCACAGCAGGGCCCACTGCTCTACAACAGGGAGTAACGAAGTGCTGTGCACATACGCTGCTTTTAATGTGCCGTTACCACTTGGCCAAAGGCATCATGCACATATTAGTTGCTCCACAGGCACTTTTTGCTACATGAATGGACCAGTGGAAGTGACAAACCTGTTAGGCATTCACGGCCTCAGCATAAAAGGTTCCTTTTCCCCAGAACCGAAGCTCTGGAGCAGATGGTAATTGACACAAGTTTTCGAAAAGCGATTTGGCAATCTTTAGCCAGAGCCATAAGAATGTTCTACTTTTTGACCCAACACCCCCACTTCTGGGAATCTGTCCTAAGGATGGTCTCCAAATGATTGATACAAAGACTATGTAGTAACATGAAATATTTATGATGTAATGATAAACAAGTCTGGAAGAACTGACCAAGGAATTGGCCGGAGATAGGAGTTGTATTAGAGTAATGAAATTATTGGAGATTATTTTCCCCAAATTTTAGAAAGTTGATTTTTACCCTCTTCTGCCTCTCAAGGTTAAGCAGTCAGGAGCCTAGCAGAAACGGCGCATTCAGATGGGATAGTTGATGAAAATTTAACAAATGGACCATTCCCTGTTTCTAGTCCTTTCCACCTTGGTTATTCAACTCTCAATTACTCAAAAACAGTTATCGAGCATCTGGTTATTTTCTAGTGAGGGAGGCAGACTTTCAAGTACATAAATTATCATAAATGCAATAATACATACACAAACTGAGTGCTACAAGGAGCGCAAAAGAAGCAGCAAACTGTCAGAAGGGAGGTGTGAATCAAGGAAGGCTTCAAAGAGGGGTGATGGATGTGTGGTCAGTTATGAAGGTTGCCTGCTGAAACAAAAGGGCCACAACGTGTACGAACACAGATTCGCAAGGCGTAACATGGTGCTTGTAAGCAATTCCATGTGCCACAGCTGGGCTGGAAGAAACACTAGGTGGGTGTGGAGAAACCGGGGGAGATGCGGCTTCAGTTAGATCACGCTGAGCGCTCTGCTCCAAGTGGGCTTTGTGTTTTAGAGTTAGCAGATTTGCATGTTAGAGATGACTCTGGCCTCAGTGAAGAGAGTGGCCTGAATGGGGCGAGAATACAGGCAGAGAAGAGGGAAAAGAAGGGTTTGGGTCTTGGCTGGGTCGGCC